GAGAGAGAGAGAGAGAGAGAGAGAGAGAGAGAGAGAGAGAGAGAGAGCAGGACAGATATGGGCCACAGTGACATTAGGCAGATGGCTCAAAGCGCTCAGCTCTGTTTACATTGCTCTCACTGATAAAGCAAAAACAGCCATGAGACAAAAGTGGAACCTACAGCAGGATGTGTGTTTGCAGGTGAATGCCTCCCGTCAGTCCACATGTGTGTGCAGTCAAAGACTTTAAGGTGCGTTATCGCTGCAGCTACTGTAAGTATTTATCAGTTGAGACTCACTTAACGTGGGTACAGTGTCACACGCCGTGTGTCTGAGCTCACAGGCGCAAACTAATTGCTTGCTTTTCTCAAGAGGGCAAGGGCTAGTGGGTTTGCAGAGTACACGGTAAGGTCCTGTGTTTACGCAACAGCACTCCACCTCTTTAGGAGCTCTGCTTTAGGAGCTCTGCTTTAGGAGCTCTGCTTTAGGAGCTCTGCTTTAGGAGCTCTGCTTTAGGAGCTCTGCTTTAGGAGCGTTTACCTGCTACCTGAGCACGCCGCCACGCTCCCAGCGCAGGGCCGCTGCACCTGCTCCGCTGTGCTCAACAACACACTCATTAATCTAAACTCATGACTTATCACCTTATCCTGCGCGGCCTTTTCTCTGCTGGTTTGGTCCAGCACGATTATAATCAAGCCACTATGCATTATGGTCTGCATTGCTCACTCCCTGTCAGGTGGCGTTCATGACTGAGTTACCAATATGATGATGGCCTACTAAAAGGGTTACGTTCGGTTTATGGAGACAAAAATAAACCAGGAATTGAACATCACGTCACTGGAACCTCACATAGTTTGTTTTTTGCCGTAAAAAGCAGTCGTCATTTCCCCTCTGGGTGACATGATGGAAGTGGCCAGCCAGTCTGTGGAGAGGACCTCAGCCTAATCCCGGGATATCAAAATGGCATTATGTAAGAGCGGCTCTGATCTAGACCGGACAGGCAAAACGGCAGTACACACAACATAGATTAAAATGTATTTTCTCCACACAAAAAAGCCCCCAACAGCTTAGGGAGGATGTGCAGGCTGAATCAATAAATGATCAACATGGGTCCATGGAGGCATTGCTGAATAAATGACCACCTCTGTGCATAACAAGAATGTCTGCTGCATATCTGATATTCCTCCACAATTAAGTAAAAATAAATCTATAAAGTACATATTACTTAGTAAAATAAAATAGTTAGGAAAGCTGACACAGATACTTAGACTTGTGAAAGAAATTTCAAATTAAATTCTCATGGGGTATCCCAAAGTTTACAAAGATACCAAAGATGTGAAAGTGATTTTTTAGGGAACTGTAAAAATCATGCATTCTTAACTTCACTAAGTGTAAACATCATATAGCTTCAATGAAGAGCTGGGACAAACCGAGACAGAATTATATGCAATACTGTCAGATAGTGTGAAATAAGAGGATTTTCAGTCAGATTCCTCCTCTGGGGACCATGCATACTGTATATGTACATCATTTCAGGGCAATCCCCCCAGCAGTTGAGATGGTGGACCGACTGACCGATTAACAATTCCAAAAATATACTGCTACTGGTGGTGTGAGAAGAAAATACAGATGTCTAAACAAAGAAGTGGTAAACGCAACCTGCCCATCGTTGGTAATGCCTCCACATCCAAACACAACACCCATCACCACCCTTCACCTAATGACACCCCTCTAAAGATCCCGTCTCAGAGTTGGACGAGCAGGCGACAGTGAGAGGTGCGCTAATGGAACATTCAGAAACCTTATTTATAATTTTTCTCCTCCTTTATGATGGATTTAGCACAGCAGCCATTTACTTTAGCAGGAAGTCTCTGGTCCTGACAGTGAGTCTATAAACATTGACTTTTAAGGCTGGGAAAGAGTGTTCTTTAAGGAGGAGAGAGCAATGTGAGAGACTGCAGACAAATGGGACATTTAACAGCATCCTAATGTACCTGAATAAGAATATATAAAGCAGCTATGATCAATAGTTTTATATAAACAATGGATCACGTGGCTACCTGTAGCGATGAACGCACAGATAACTATCACAAAACTCTGCAGCTTCTCTCAGCTCAACAAAGGTTTAAGTATCTTTTAGCTCATTGTTTTGGTTTTCTGGCCCATAACTTAACTGTTGTAGTTCACTCTCATTTATTTTTAGCCGCGGCAGGCAGTTGTTTTGAGCAACAGAGCTAAAAGAGAGTGAATATTAGACTTACATTCACCAAATGGCCACAAACAAAACTCCGGAAATTTGAAAAAATCTGTTATTGCAGGTTAAAATGACCAACATCAAGAAAAAGGGATCAACAGGAAAAACAAATATAGTCCGTCTTTGCAATGAATTAATTAAACAAGCCTCTCCAAAACAGACAGTAGGATGTGACTAATAGTCTGCACTCACAAGCCAATTCCAATACAAACCAAACAATCCTAATCAAACTGTGCACAGTCCTTGCAGAATGTCAGCCGAGTATCTCCTCTCGTTTCCCCAGCATGTTCACACAGCAGTAGGTGACCTGACCTCTTCGTTAATCCCCTCATCCTGCTCTCCATCCCATTTAACAATACTCAGCCAACACCCAGCACCGATCACAGGAAGGTGTGCTTGTGTCTGTGCGTACATACATGTAAATGCACAAAATTAGCAGGTCAAGGAAGATCTTAACGTTTCCCCCTGACACCTGGTATCCCTACGGTACCCCTTCATTTACTCAGACCCTTTAGGAAGTCAGTTGACAGAAAGCTCTGCAAATTACACTTTTAATCCCTTTAATCAGATATACAGTATTTTACCCAGACACATGCTTTGTCTCTTCAATCATTCAGTCAGTCAGTTTAGAAGTTGTTGATATGCAAGAAAAAAAAGCTTTGCTGTGATTTGTATGCAGGTATAATGTTCACCTCCTGACTTAATATTCCTGTTAAAGAGCTCATTTTGAAGCCAGTCATTATAGACCTCGTATTCATGGAAGATGGAGATGTGACGATGATTTTATATAAAACTCAATATTGTTGAAGAGTCTCTCTCCCTCTCTCTGCGCTTCTTTCTCAGTCTTGTGAAAAGGTTCTGCTTAGTGTTGGCCCGAGATTCACACCCACGGAGACTGTGAATTATCGGAGATGGCAGCGCTGCTTTCACTTAGCAACTATCACCCACATTCAACAGCCTCCCACCAAAGACCTGCAGTCCTCGACCCAGGTTCAGGGAGGGTGCAGCATGGGGACCAGCTGAGGAGGTAAGGGGGGTAGTGGGTGAGTAGATGACTTTAGGCCTTTTTACACAGCCTGTTCAAGGGGGGAACGTAGTTATTTGCTGGTTGGAACTGTAATTGTCTCCTGCTAGATTTGATCAGCTACAGCTACAGCTAGTTAGCTCCAAGAGTAAGGTAACTAACCAATGTGTTTGTCAAATGTAATACAATCTCAGGTGACATTGGCTGGGGTTGAGGGAGTCTAAACTTCCTCAAATCCAACACGGAGA